TCAATGATGGATAATACGCTCAGCTTCTCGGCCGATACTTACCATACCAATTTCTTACCTTTACCGCCTTGCAATGCTTCAAAAATAGCTGAGAGTTAAGTCTTTAATTACTATCGCTTCTATTGTGTTTGAAGAGGAGATTCAAATCTCCTTCTACTATTGAATAGGCTTTTTCGTCATTAACCCATGGAACTTCACTGATCGCCCGATGATAATGTCATATGATAGCTGACTCATCTGTACCATTTCATTGTGCCAAAATAGGCAATCCTTTGTAGCTTACGTGCTTGACCTTTCTACAGGCAATTGTCTTACAATTAATTGTCTTGTGTTTCCTCCAGCGATTTCGGAAGGGCGAGATGCCCAGTACGAAATCCTGCTTCATGTTGTACACACCAATCTGCGTCCTCGATCTTCACTGGCTCTTGCCTCCGAAACTGTGGTACTGAGTCGCTCTTATTCGTCTTCGTTGAATCAAAACTGAATGATGTTCACACAGAGTCGCATTTAAACGCCCCATTTGCATTGATCTCCGAAAGTGTCAGCATACGGCCGCAATCAAACGCCTAAATATGTGACTGCAACAAAGCAATCACGTTTTTATGCCCGTGATAATTGCTCATCTTCTTTCTAGTAGAGGTGAGCTGCTGACTAACTACAGCCCTACTAATAAACTTTCCAAAGCAGGAGTTTTTTTGGACTACGGCCAAGCATCATAAAGTTTTACGGTCAAAATTTTGATTAACCTTTTTTGGAATTGATAGCACTTAACGTTTTTATAAATGGTCTTCGTACAGGTGAGGCTCGCATTTCGACCTTCTATGTGTGCCCAGCGAATACAATGGGTGTTGAATACAACGTGAGACTCAGCTTCTGATTTGTTAGTGTTGTTCTTAGTGCGAAACGTATAGGGTCTATGAGTTGCTCAATTTGTTCGCGACTCGATGATCCACGATGTACCGATCCCAGCCAAGCCGATTATGAAGAGCAAGATCTCATGACTGCTAAGCTGCTTTTCGGTATCCGAAGTAAAGCGCCGGTGAAAATGACAAACAGCTACGTTATGTCTATCCCTTTCCTTTTGGCTGAGAGCTTCAAATGGCTGAATCTGGATCAACAGATCTCTTACCAGAATTGTCGGGCCCTAGTTGAGGCAGGGCGAGCTATATCACTTAGTTAAGTTATATTGTGCCTTTAGATCAATAATAGAAGCAATCAAATTAAGTAAAGTTCTGTACACCTTTGTAGCTTATACAGATGTTTGGACAAGACAATTATCAAAACAATCTAAGCTATGAAGAATCTTGAAATGTTTAAGGGCGATGTGCTACTACGTATTATGTTCGATACCAGTCTGTTACAAAACCAACGAGCAAAACGCGAAGGTATTGAGAATGGCAAGTGTGGAGCTATACCGACGCCCGTAATATAAAACTCTGTTGAACCTTCCCAGATTCAAGAAATTGATAGCGTGAAACGTTACTTGGTCTTTAAGTTGTGTTCGAGGAATGATCTTATCACACATATGGCCTGGCTAAGACTTCCTTAGTTATGGACTGACGTTCGTAAACGTTAGCTACTAATAATGTTTCTCATAGATATTCTGAGTAAGTCATGAAAATGGTTAAAACTCATAATAACTATTGTCCGATGCACAAACATGGAACAGCCTTTAACCACTATTCGACACTTTCCAAAACTATAATCAAGAATATTGTTGAGAGCTGTAGCTTACTTTGAGAAGGAAAGGAAAGCTTTCGCCTGCAGTCTTTGAATATTTTTCTGTAGAAAGAAGAGTAAGAAACGGTCTCCCCGAATAAATCCTATTTGCTGAGATCGGTAAGCATCGCCCTAAAGGTGTTATCTGTTAAAGCGGGAGAAGGCGGCTGTATGCCGTTTATTCAGTGTTTGTTGCTTCGTGGATATAGGAGGCTGTGGGTAGCATTAATATCAATCAGGCCTTAGCTTAAATGCGGAGGTTTTATTGATTAGGTGGTATGACGGATCTGCTGAGTTTGAAACACCGAGTGACGTGCATAACCTTTTGAGTCGAGTTCGCATGTCTTACAGAAAACGGTTGCAATGTGCACATTGCTCACGCGGATAAAAGGATAGCCTCGTATGCTCATTTCTAAAAGTTTATTACCAATCTCATTCTATACTTCCTCCCATTCCACCCTGATACGATTGTTGATGGTGAGACCAGCACTCGTCCGATTGTCAACCTTTTATCGAATTTAATTTTGATATACAGTGTATGAGCTATGTTGGCCGGGTCAACATTGTTCTGTAGGATATTCTTTGCCTTAATTAAGGTTTT